AGAAAATCCACTTTCCTTGTTTAAACATCTATTCCAGTCCTCACCACAAACTAAGAATAGGCAATTAGATGTAAATACTATCAGGTGTTTAAGCCAGAAATAAGAGATGGTAAGTTTTTGCTTGCTATTCATCATTCCAAAGTTACTGCATGTGGTCACAGTGATCTCTTGTGCTCGCACTCACACATAACATCAGTATCAGGCTTTTCTTTTCCCAGAAAAGAGTCTGAAAGGAAAGGAAAATACCCTGTACAGTCCTTTCTGATAGACATACACAAGGAACTGTTTCCAGAGGCGGGAAGGCTTCAAGAACAGCAGTGAAGGAAGACAAAAAGTATCAGGATGAGGAAGAAACAGATGCAGATGAGATTATATTTTCATTTGTAGATCCATTTTCTATGGCGTGGTTATAGCTGAGAATGCAATTAGCCCACAGCAAAATTCTAATCTATAATTTCGAGCAATTCACCGAGACCTTGCATATAGACCACTTTTCTCATATAAGGTAAGCAATAATGAGGCAGGTAGACCAGACTGAATTGCAGACAATTTCTTTCAAATCATAACCCAGACGCCATTTTTGAATGTCACCAAAACATCTGTGGGATAAGCTTAACGTGTTCATATAAAAGTGTGTATGTGTCTGTATATGCAAAATACAGCCCTCCTAGTCCACTCATTAGCATGCAAGAAAATGGGGGGTTTGACTTATGTCAGACTCCTGTCTGGTCAAGAATCAGGGTGTTAAATACAAGGTGGAATCTAGAACTTACAGCGTGGTAGTTGAAAGTGGCCAGATCTTTCTCCATCATTGCATTATTTTGCTTTTATCTGGCAGCATTTCTTCAATTCCATTTTCTTTATTCTGGATGAAATTCTGCTTCCTGTGAAATCTACCTTTCAAATACTACTTCTTTCTGCCTTCCTGAAAAACCTCTACCCTTGCTGAGGCTAACCTATATTAAACATGCATAAAGTTTTAGCACAATTTGTCCCCAACACACTTGTCTCCAAATTATTTTGGGATAAGATACTTGGGAATATGCGAATTTTAAGGTGGAAAGGCAGAGAAGAAGAAGAGTTGTGCTTCTGCACATTTCATATCAGTCTATGACTGGAGGTAACTGGTTTCTTATGCCATGCTGTTCCCATGGCATGTCAAAACACATCTGATCAATGTGTCCAACATCTTTGCAGAAAGCACTCGCCACACTCAGTAACACAGTATGGAAACATAAAAATGGAAGCATGATTATTTTTCCATGAACAGCATCTGTGCTAAATGTTGTCCTCATTTACGAACTGACAAGTTTCTTTGTGGAATACATTGCCAAAGTCATTTACCAATATGTCAAAATTGACATAGGATTTAGTTATGTGCTATCTACTGTTTCTGTAGTTTCCACACCCTTACTCCTCCACTAGGATATTTTTCCATATTGAACTAATTTGCAAGTTTCAGCAGCAGCACAACTTTTTCCAGTTGCACTACACCATTCCCCCCACTCCCCCCCCACCTGAGAAGCTGTATGGCAGACATCAGCCTTGACCAATTCTTTAAAAGCACTTACAAGTTTCCAACAACACTGGTTGCTCTCACACAATTCATTACCTTGCTTTTAACCTTGGTAACAAAAATCAAGTTTTAATTCCTCATGACATTAAAAACTCTGAGTTGGTGTGTCACTGAACTGCCGCCCTATCTGCAAGTCAGGAGCTCAGAAACTCCTTTTCACAGCTATAATCAAGCTTTCAAATAGTAATAAATTTATCATGCATTCATTAGCTATGCAGCTGCATATTTAGCAAGATAATTATATCCTGGTAAAATGAAACCACAGTAACACACAATCAACACCTGTATTTGTCTTGAGACAGTAAACAAGACTGATGATTTTTTGACTCAGGAGATTATCTTGATTAAATAAAATGCAAATTAGGCAAAATCTACTATAAAGTTGATAATTCCTTTTTAATTAAAGCCTTTTCTTTTTAAGTTTGAATGGACACGATTTGGTTTATTGTTTAGTACCATAAATAGGGAGGCAGAGTACCTGATTTGTTTTTCTAATACCTGCTTTGCTTTTTAGCTCTAGAGAAATTTTAGACACACTGTGGTATCTTTCTTACCTTCCTGATTGAAAGCTCTTCCACCTGCTGTATCACATAGTGAATTATGTCAGCATGTACTGATTATAAGTGACACTGATCTGGATGTATCACATCAAAAGCTTTGTTGTTATGCTCAAAGGAAACCAGGTGGTGGTGGAAGACTCCTTAGTAAGGAATGCAAATATGCTACATTGAGACATTCATGTTGTCTTTCTCTTCAGGCTACCTTCTCTCCTTCAAAATCTGCACTGCTAATAGCTTTGAGACATAAAAATAGCAATGCTGCGTCTTCCAAAAGCCTAGCTAGCATAAGACACCAGCAAGAAGGGTAAGAGCAAGCCAAGCATACATAAGCACTTTTTTCCAAGCAGCCTCCCTGATGCCAACCAGCAGGTAACAGTGGTGCATTCCATGTCAGCTGGCTCATTTCACCCCACTCCATTTCCCAGCCTGGCCCTAGGAGCCTTCAATAAGCTTTACCAGGCTACCATTTTATGAAAACAGTCTGGTACAAATCTCCTCACTCTGTGAGGAGTGCTCTGCTTAACATAACGCAGGCACTGTGTTATTAACATTTAAATTTGACCCACTCTGATAAAGTTGTTAGGAACATTCACTTAAAAGTCCACATATTCACAAACTACAAAAAAGTATTTAGCACTTTAAGGAAACACAGTGTCACCGTTCGTAAGGCTTCACAACACAAGCTATTTACTTTCACCATTTTTTGCTAGCTTTTATGCTAAACCCATTATTTCCACACTTCCTGTCCTGTTCAGACAATCATACAGTTTAGAAACAAAGGCTATTCCCACTTCTAACACTGATGTTCCTATACAAGATACCAAAATACATAAAAAGATAGCAAAGCCTTTGGGTAGTAGTGATTGAAGAGTTTAACTGAAGAGGCATAAGGGCATCATAATTCAGGGATTCAGAGGGCAAGCTACGTGAGATTTCTTAGATAATTGAGAATGACCCATAATTCACTAGCAGCCATAGGAAATTCTACTATCCACACAGCTTTGAGGGCAAGAAATCAAGTCAGCTGTACATGAACTGATTTTTTTTTCAACCTTCAAAGCAAACAAACATATCCCATCTATGAGATAATAAAATTATTTCTGGCAATGAATGTTTGATACATATATGAATGAAATACTTGGGCAAACGGTAAATATCAGCGGTTGATATTTTTTGCTTCTGTAAAAAAAATTAAACTTTCTGCTTAGATACTAGTTTCAATCTTCTTGTAAGTGTTATGAATATTTTTTAAAGACTACCCAATGTTTTTACTGTGATACACCACACATCTTCGCAGGTTCAGAGTACCTTTTCATGGTCTGTTACAACTACCTGACACAGCAGTGTCATTAGTATTTGTGCTGAAGTTCAGTTTCATTTGGCAGATCCAGAGCAATACACAGATTCCCTGGAATAATAATGGGAGAGGAGGAAAAAAAAAACACTGCTGTTTGCAACTCTGCTTGCAAGGGCCAGCAGGCCAAGAGATGCCACTCTCAGGAGAGTGCCTGGTAAAAAACACAGATTTCTATATTAACTCTGTAGGTCGTAAGTTCAGTTCAAACTCTGAAAGAGAATTTAAACCAAGGCATTTGCCTTGAGCATTAGCTCAAATAATTTTTAACAGTTCATCTGTCTTCTGCACTCTATTTCTGCTGCATTTCTTTGAATACTACATGTCTACAGTTGCCGACTATTATAAACTATAAAGCCTTCTTGTTACAACCAGCTTCAAGCCGAAAACAAAATTAAAGTCTCATCCAATAAAGCTCTGATAATAGCAGACCTGCTGTTTTTATGACTAAAATGAAAAAGCTTTCTTCATATCACAAAGCAGTCAGAGACCAAACAGAGTAAGCACCATTGTGCTAGGCTCCACACTAACACAACAAGACAAGCCTCTGCACTAAAAAGCTGACAAGTCTAAATCATTTTAGGTCATGTTTCTAGAAGTCTGGGGCACGGCGTCCCACAGACTGGAGGAACTAGAGATCGTGCAGAGGGAAACAAGGGAGGGGAGAAGTCAAGTGACTCCACCATTACACAAAGGCTGAACAGCAAGCAGAATGCACCTGGGAGACAGTTTTCAGGGAAAATACTTCAGTGAACACTGATTTAAAACAACCGTAAGATTCAAAACTGGTACTTTTTTTGTGAAATATTATGCTGAAATGCTTTAAAAGCAAAGGGGATCCAGAAGTTATAAACATTATAAACAATTACCGTTTTTCATAGTATTTTTAATGCGTTGAAGACTTTCTCTACTGCATGACTACATATTAAAGTTATAACTACAGCTTTCCTCACAAGTGATTAATCAAGCATTTCCTTTCCTTCTCTGGAAGAATATCTAGCTGAAATGTGGGGTTTAGACCAAGACTGAAAAATGAGCCATTTAATAGATATCTGGAAAAAATAATTACCATGTTAGTGAAGCTAAGTAGGCTTAGTCTAATTCTAATAATTAAGGGGATGAAAATGCTGAAAGGGATGCTTGCCCCTACCCTCTGCAGTGTGAAAAAAAGTAACCATCAAATTGAAGTTCATTTAGGAAGTGCTAAAGTTGAATCATGGGGGTGAGAGAAAAAGCACAAGGACATGAAAGCAAACATGCACGTGACCATGAACATACACATGCATGTTCTTATACACTGACTGCCATATATCAGTAATAAACTGTCTGAAAAGCAGTAATGACTAACCTCCACATTTTAGTGAAACTGTGCATCAGGCTCACACAGCAAGGCAGAGCTGGAGGTTTGAGACCATCCATTTGAAGGAGGAGGGCAGGAACACCATACAGAACAAGGTATTTCACATAAAAAAACAGTACTTGAGCTAAAGCCAGGCCACCTAGAAGAAAAAGCAAAAATAAAAAATTCATAGCTTAAACAAGTCCTGAAATGCTTTTAAAACCTGTTAATACTGATTACTTCCAAACAGCCATTATTCAAAGAACTAAAGCAGGCAGCATCGGTTGATGGGATATACAATACCTACTTTTGCAACAACTATAGGACACAAGCACATGCAATTATGACTTTAGGCACACACATAGACCAAATAGTACCACCGTCCCGATACAAAGGCGTAAGTAAGCATCTGTAGTTCCACCTTCAAAAAAATCTTTGGAGTTGTGGGTATTGACTGCTGTGAAAAACAAATACTGACTTATGTTGAGCTAGAAATCAGAACATACTGATACAAGCAATGAACATTTACCACAGGGACAATAAATTTTATCTTTGCAAAAAAAAAACCCAAACAACCACTCTTCACTTGCTCATCCAGAACAATGGTTGTCTTTGCAGCTTATCCTGACAGCTCCACAAACATCCCATGTACCGTCAAATTATTTGCGTCCCCCAAAACACCCCCTACAAGATCCCTCCTGCTGCAGCCAGGGCATAGAAGACTGGAACTCCACTTGGCATAATGCTTAAGGCATATTTTGGGTTTTAAAACCACAGGACAAAGGCCTCCTTCAGGTGCTTTAGCTGCCTGATTTCCAAAGGAGAAATTTTGGCAGTGTTTGCTCACACCTTAACCCCGGGGTATGGCACAAAATGCAGCATCTTGCACAAGTATGAGATGGAAATCATACTGGCTATTCTCAGAGTTATCACTCATGCAAGTAACAATCTTAGAATGCATTATAAATAAAGCAAGATGATTCATATTAATATTCTAAATGTTTTCTGCTGAATAAAATGGTATTTGACCAATAATCATAAGAAAAACTTCAGTAAAAAGCAGAGGCCACCACCTTTATAGAAACTGGTGAGAGTTCACTCCTAAAAGTTCCACTGACTTTGGTGAACTTTTCCATCTGACTGACAGCTGACATAAGTAAAATCTAATCCCAAACGTGGGAAAGTAAAACTATTATGACTTGGAAGAGTAAAAAAAATTATAAAATGCAATTGTTAGATCTCCTTCCTTTCCAGTGTTTTGCTTTCCCTCATTGCTATTAACTAACTTGTGATTTGACTGGAGTACTTTAGATATTTAATATAATTTTAAAACCTTCCAGAAGACTTTCCTTGGAGACAAAGTTTTCAATCTGACCCCAGCAGCAGAAGTCCATGAACATCTAAATAATCTGCTTTTTGGGGGGAGGGGGGGGGCAAAGCATCTCTTGCATTCCGCTAACAAGTATACAAGTATACTATGGATGACAACCGAAAGTTAAACATTAAAAGTTCATCTAATATATAACAACCTAGGGTGAAATTCTGGCACTAATAATGTAAATTGCAAAACTCCTGCTGGCCTACATATGACCAGCATTTTGCTGCTACAATCCAACATTTTTAGTTTTAATACCATGATCCCAGTGCATGATATAAGAAACAGTTGTGCCATACAAGATAAGAACTGATATTAGAACAAAATACCTAGACATGAAGCTTATGGTATTTTCCTTCAGGGAAGCAGTCATCTAGTATTCAATAACATTCTTCCCCAGAGGAAAACAAACAATCAGAAGCACAATTTGGATACTAGCCAATTAGCTACACATTAGATTACTGCTAAATCATCTATACAGCCAACTTTCTGCTTTAATTCCCATCTCATTCAGTTTCTCATTTCTTTTCTGACAAATTTCATTGGAGAGCTGAATGCTGACACCCACTCAAACCGATTATGAAGATCACAGCTGTCTGTGCACTGGGAAAATTCAAAATCCTTTGGCTGTGCACAATGGAAAGAGATTTAGAGACATAGACTACTACTCTCTCGAGACCCAAAAATCAATACATTTGATTTTAAATACAATAATGAAAGATTTCAAGTTCTCAGATACAAAGTTATAATACGCAAGTTTCAGAGGAAAAAAAAGGCATTTTCACCATCTCTAATAACATACATCTAAGTTGTCATTACTGTTAACTAGCAGACAGCTCAATAGCACTGGTATCAAATAAAAGTAGACATCACATCACCAATCATTACCTGGCACGCACTAGCTAATCTGCATGTGGCAATTCTAAGACTCACAATAGCAGCAAGGTGAAGGTCCCTGTCAAAATATGTAGATTAAGCTCTCATTGGTCTTCAGTTCATCCCAGCTGTAAGAGATCTGGCCACACATGGAAAACTGAGGGCAAGATTCACAGCCACACAACAGCTGGGCAGCATTAGCAACAGGCACAGGCTTTAAACTTTCTTGCATACCCAAGACATTCCAGCTGCTTTGCACAAAGCAGCTAGAAGTACACTGCTTCACCTGATTTAAAAACATGAAATAAAAAAGAAATTTAAGATCAATGCTAAATTGCTCAGTCATTAATATCACGTAATTTGTTCTCTAGTGTTCGATTTAAAGCTTGAAAAGAACTCACACACAAGCATTATCTTAAATTGGAAACAAGCTATATCAAGTGTATATTAAAAACACACGTAAGAAAGTATTGCAAAAATGCTTTCTTTTCCCCAGAATAAATTCAAAGGATTCACAGTCAAGGTTAAATTTTTTTAAAACTGAAATGTCTTAAGGGATTAAAAAAAAATATCAAGTTAGAAGTACCCATACACTCTTAAACCCATGTAGTTCAACAGTCAAGCTGTTTGAAGTCCCAGATTACATTAACTGACTTTTATAGAAATTGATATTTTCAATTTATAATCTTGCAATCCTTAAAACATTCTAAGTTTTCCTATGCTTTAAAAATGCATTTATAGACTTTCAAATATTTACCTTGCTTAAATTTACTGCATTTTATAAGTTTCATAGAGCTTTGTTTCAAGGATAATTAGAATTTAAAATATTCACAGAATTTTAATTTTTTTTTTTCATATTCTCAAAACTCCGCCTGATATTTTTTGACAGAAGTTATCAAACAGAACACTTTCATAAATAAGTGACAAAAGATTTGGATCCAGGTATGAGAAACCACACTTGGCTTTTTTCTGTCCATAAACCATCACCAAAACTCATGGTCAAGAATTGTAACTTAGCAGGCAATTTTGTTACGAGCACAACAGCACAAATTTACCCTTTTTGCAGCTATGTTGACCCTATGGCATTAATGATTGTAGATGCTTGTTTCTGTCAAGTACCAGGGCAGGTGCAACTAAAAAACACATATCAGATAAATATGCAATCATATTTCAAAAAGGTTGCTGACACATGGTACAAATCTAATAGGAAACAGATATTTAAAACAGCTCAGAATTTAGGGCCATATCATCCAGTTCAAAACATCAGGCTTTAGGGGCTCATTTACCCTTTCTCTTATTTTTTACATGCCTCTTCCACAGAAAAAAAAATAAAAATTACACAAGTATTCCCTCAAATTAAAATCTCCATGAAAGAATATGGATCTGCACTGGAGCAGATAGGCTACAGATGTATCTCAGCAATAATGCCAACAGTCATAAGATGCATTAGGAGTTTCCAGCTCCATTCATCAATCAATAAGAGCACGATTATTGACAAGCTTTACACACCGGGCTACAACATTTTCTTCACAGCAGGACACTCCTCCCTGACAAGAGCCCCAAGACTGGATCTACTATGACCTTCTCAGTTTGGTATTGATGGCTACACCTCATGCTGGGGGAAGCTTTCATATGAACATATGACTACCACAGCACCAAGTCAACTCTGCACAAGCTGCCAGGTAAGCAGAGTTCTGCAGCCACTGGCAGCAATCCCATGTACATCACGCTGTGCTGTCCTGGGCCCTAGTCAGGGCTAACCGTCCACTCATCCTGCTACACTGACCTGAATTAATGCAGAAGTGACAACTCAGTTCTGTTATTCCTGTCTCTAGCCATTGAAAGAGAGCATTGTGTGAGAAACATGAAGCACCCTAATTTCATTACTTGGAACAGAAAACAATGCAACTAATAATTAGGCACATACTGCTCAGCAGTGTTTTTCACTGCTGCTTGGCACTGCTTTGAAAGAGGTGCCGGCTCACAAAATCAAAAGGAATGAGGAAAGAAAGAAGTACTACAGGGACTCATGCAGCCCGGCTTCATATCCCAGCCTTCCAGTAGCACAGGAGAAGCAAGAAAAATCCTAAAACATATGGAGCGGTGGCAGGAAAGTACATACTACAATGTTTGCCCTGGAGGCTAAGTGCTTCTTTTTAGACAAAGTTGAATAGACAAAGATCCAAAGGGAAGTTACTTAAACAAGACTAATCAGAGCTGCCAAGGGACTCTTGGTCAAGGCATAGACAGCTCTTCCAGGTTTAAGAAATCCAGAAGTTTTTTCAAGGATACACATGCCTTAAAGCCACCTATCTTGAATACTCCCAAAATATCTACATCAGACATTATGCTCATTAGTAAATACCTGCAGGAAAGAACTCTAAATAAATCAACAGTTATCACATTGTGCTGATTTTGGCTGGGATAGAGTTAATTTTCTTCATAGCAGCTAGTATGGGGCTATGGTTTGGATTTGTGCTGGAAACAGCGTTGATAACACAGGGATGTTTTTGTTACTGCTGAGCAGTGCTGACACAGAGTCAAGGCCTTTTCTGCTCCTCACACCACCCCACCAGCGAGTAGGCTGGGGGGGCACAAGAATTTGGGAGGGGACACAGCCGGGACAGCTGACCCCAACTGACCAAAGGGATATTCCACACCATATGACGTCATGCTCAGCATATAAAGCTGGGGGAAGAAGGAAGGGGGGGGACATTCAGAGCGATGGAGTTCGTTTTCCCAAGTAACTGTTATGCATGATGGAGCCCTGCTTTCCTGGAGATGGCTGAACACCTGCCTGCCCATGGGAAGGAGTGAATGAATTCCTTGTTTTGCTTTGCTTGCATGGCTTTTGCTTTACCTCTTAAACTGTTCTTATCTCAAGCCAGAAGTTTTCTCACTTTTACCCT